AGTGAGTATCGCCATTCTTAGCACCACACAACAACTCGTCAAAGAGACAAGTGAAGCCGATCCTTTGACTGAGAGAGACTGGGATACGACTAGGAAATAATATAATAATAATAACGCAGACTCTGATCAACATTCCTTGCACAAATTTGAAAGGGGGGGTGAGAACGACAGTTGGAGTGTGAAGGTGTCATGTCGCTTAAAGGAGCACACCACACTATATCTAAATAAACACGGTAAAATTGTAATAGTGAAGGCATGATAGGACGGTACCGGAAACGCGAATATCCCAGGGCAGAAGGGTAGATACCACAATTGTTTAGCAAAAGTCTGGTCAAACGATCGGCTTCACTTGTCTCTTTGACGAGTTGTTGTGTAGTGCTAAGAATGGCGATACTCACTGATGATGCCGACTATGATGCCGGTGAAACGTTTGGGAATGTACCACGTCAACGGTTCAACTTTGGAAATGATCATGCATTCTATGGACTCCGGACTAGGTGCGTTCCTCTAAGTCTTCCTACCAATATGACCGAGTTGCGAAGACGAGGCCAAACAACTTCTGAATAATATATATTTTATCCACGGACAAGCAAATCCTTCGCAAATAAATTTTGCTCGGTTGCAAACAAACATTATTCGGCTTCCTAAATGCGTAGAGAGTCTGACTGAATATTAGAAAATGTGTAATTTCCAATGAAAAATCACACACTTCTTCAACTTACACGTTAAGGATAAGAGCAATGAGTCAATATTTATGCCATCCAAACTGTAAGCTAATTTCGCAGTTTTAATGACAGCCACATCAAGCAATAACAAGTTATTTAAACCAGGTCGTTGCCATGGTGTCGCTATCTCGTGATTGATTTTTGGCACTTGTGAATGCATAGTGTTGCTCTAGCTTGATCGATGAGCATTAGCTTTTATTGTGTTACAATGGGAATGCAAAGCTTGCCTATTCGTTCGGTAAAATGCAATTAAAAACTGGGATTTAATGTGATTCAATTTCCCGCCTAGAGGCAATGCAGGTATTCACAATGCATGCACTAGGAGACGGCTTACTCAAATCGATTAAGGCACGAAGGAGTGGCATTATGCGATAGGATCTTGAGGCTAGAAAAGACGAGTATTCATACAGTCACTCGGCTTAAAAGCAATTTTGTCTTCTCAAGTGGCTATGCATTGTCCAACAGTGAGAACTCGACAACAGCAGGAAACAACCTCAAGAATCAGAAGAATCTCCAAGCCCCAGTGAAGTCAGCTATCGGCAGAAGTAGACATGATTTGGCAACCTTTCTGGTTGGTTTGTCAGACTTACCCATCAACGTCGTCCAACGGAGGCAAGTGGTTCAATCCTCCGATGCCACAATAGTTGCCATATCCCACGAGCATACCTGCGTTGAGATTGAGATAATTGCAGATGATTTTGTTCAACTCAATCAGATGAGCCTCGCTTGTTCGTGGCCCACAGAAACTATGAGGTGTGTTGAGCGCGACCAGAATAAGTAGAAGTCTTCTAGGCTGGAGAAGCCTGGTCACAGCCATCATTGTGGGAGCCGATAGACGCATGCTGTAAAATAATTGATACAAAAAGACAGGAGGGAAAAGATCGGGTAAATCGCATCTGGAAGTATGCTTCGTACCAAACTCTATTAAAATAGGGATAGATAAATGAATACATAAAAGCATAAAGATAAGTGAATAAACAAATAAATAAATAACTCCAAGGAATTACATTGTACCCTGAAGTTTTCTTCAGGCTTGGATATTATTTTCAATATAAGATGTATGAGATGTGCTCACTCCATTTGCATAAGATAATTAAAGACTAATCGTTGAATTGTCCACCTATCATATGAATAGACCTTACGCTTTCACAAAAGGTATTCTTGTCCAGGCTGAAGTGGACTGCAGTTTCAACCTCGCCTAAGTCTCATCGGCTCCCCTAACGGGACTTGAACCATGATAGTGCATCATACAATCTGGACACACAGACACTAGGTCACAATTTAGAGGCCACAATGTCGCGAATGCCTTTGGGCGACAGGATAGATTTGAATATCAAGTAAGGCAAGACATTCTCCCATATCGCATCCTGTGGTGGGATTTTTGATGAAGCGATGTTATATGTGTTATAACAATCGACGGCATTCAATGGAAGGCTAGGGTCTGCTCATATGATTGTGGGAAAATTCAACCACCACTCCTTCATTTCCTTGAATGAAATAGGATAAACACAACTAATATATCCGATTTACTGGTAGTCTCAACACCATACTTAAAATAGTATATGATAATTGGGATAAGCATTTTAATTAGACAATTTGGAAATCCGCAACTCCCGAGATAT